TTCTCACGTTAATTTTGCTGAAAGTCAACCGATCTTCACACGTCCAAGTAATTTATATTAAAATATTGCCAGCAAAGATTTTCTTATTCAGTCGTACGTGATGTATAGGTCTCATACATCTTTATATTCGATACGAAGTTTAATTTATTTACAGTTTAATTGTACTTTGTGAAACTAGGTACCGCGTTTTCGTCTTCCGTAGATTCCGCGGCCTTATGAAAGATTCTCCGTGTAAGCACAGACTAACTTGTTCTTTTGGTCCTGGAAATAGATTTCTCATGATCATGCACAATAAAAGAAATTAATCGGGTTTTGGCAAAGTTCAAATGTATTCCAACACGTCATCGACACCACCAACATAATAAAAGTGTGTAATATGGTGTGTCCGATACAATTTTTCGTAGTCCCATTATTTATGGGGCGTCGAAACGTTTAGAACTTAAAATAAATGTTGAAATTTTGAATAAAAATGCATTATAATATTAGAATTAGATAATGACATTGTTAATAATTTTATTTTTATTGTTTTTTAATCTTAACAATATTATAGTTATTAATAAGAACATCTTAAGTTTATTGTAGTATTTATTTATTAAGCAACTCCCCCCCCCCATTACGGGTCTCTCCATTGCCGCTGGTTCCCGGGACTAGTCGACCTGGATATACGTTCCTACGTGCAGAAGCATCACAGTTCAAAAAACTGACTATGTGGAAGGGTACCATGCCATGGCAATAGAGAGAAAATTGTTGATAAATGGTGCGTGGTGGTTGGGGGAGCCCCACCGTACCACAACACGCAAGCAAACATCGATATCCCAAGGGGGATGCGGATTCGTAACTCTTGCTGTCGAGATCCTTCAGTCTCCTCCTCAGCTATCTCAGCTATCCAGGGCGAGCCACCCTTGGAAACGTTAGAACAGGACAACTAGTGTATATTATTTTCCTTTTTGATGATCAGTACAGTAATTAATTGTATAGAAACAGTTTTCAGAAGAAAATAATACACTTTTAACTTAATGTGTGCACCGATTTCAGTTGTTTAATGTCATCTGGCAATACGTTGTAAAGTTAAATATATGTATTGTAGTATGTGGATTTCTGGTAGAGAGCTGTTGATGCTGACACTTGATGAATGTGATTTATTCGACGTGTGTTGTAATTATTAATATCGGTATTGCATGAAAATATGTTCCCACTGTTAAATCAGTAATTTTTGACAAATATTACAGATTCGTAAATAAATAGGCAAGGGAATGGTAATATTCCAAGCTCAATGAAGAGAGTTTGGCATATTTTTATTATTCGAATAATTTTCATTTGCAATCTAAAGGTATTGTTACTACATGATGAGCTTCCTCAAAATAGTATGCCACATCTCAGGTGGGAATGCACATTTGCCAAATATATACGGAACGAACTGCATGAAGGCTGGCAGAATTTCAAAGAATTCTGAGTGCATTTAACTAACATAATGAAATTAATTTAGTGTTGTAATTCTGTTATACATACATTCTGTTTGCGGTATGACTGAATTGAGAGACCTAGATTTTTTTGCCTTAACATCAGCTAATTGCTTATTGTTCATTTTCAATGAACCATGAGATTGCTGATTTGAAATGCAAAAGTGCATTGAAACTCTTTCCTTCTTTAACTATTAATTTGTAATCACAAAACCAATTTGAAACTTCTGAAGTCGTACTATTTATTGTTTCGTTTTTGCAAAGAACATTCGTGTCATCGGCAAACAGAACCGTTCTTCCGTTTTTAATAGACGTGGGCATATTGTTTACGCATAACACAAAGAAGATAGGACATTAGATCGAGCCTTCTGGGACCCTATAATCAATTAGTAAAGAACTGGAAAGATAAATAATGTCCTTTCGTGCCATTAGGGGATTTCTACTTTTTGAGATCGATGTTTAAGGTAGGAGGTTATCTAAACTAGGGGGATACCGCGAATTCCATAAGAAGATAATTTTGATAGCAAGATATTATGGTTAATAACGTAAAAGGTTTTCGAAAGATCTAAAAATATATCAATGGGCGTTCATTTTGGTCCATTGATGAAACAACATCTTTAAGAAAAGAAGGAAATGGCAATTTCCGTAGATTTTAATTTTTCGAAAACCGTGGTGCGAGTCAAAAACGCTACGTTTTTCCTGAGAAAAGTTTCTATTCGCGTATAGAAGCGCCTCTCTCATACTCTTGAGAAAAATGACAAAAGAGAAATTGGCCGGTAATTTTGAATTTTTTTTGTTTCCTTTTTTAAAAAGTGGCTTAATTTTTGCTGTTTTGAAAATATCTGGAATAATTCCTGAGCATAAAGTAACATTGAAAATGTGAGTTAACGGATGTATAAAAGGCATGAACGCAAGTTTTCAATAAACAATCCGGAAATTGATCTAAACCAGATGAAGATTAATTTTTTAGTGTACTGACTATTTTCAGGATTTCGTTAGAAGTTACGAAAATAAACATCGTGTCGAACATTTTTTTGGGAAGAGAATGATATTGAATTTTGTGGTTTTAGTCCCTTCGTGCGTTCAGCCGTAATTCTAGAAAAGTGTTGGTTGAAGAGATTTGCCACTTTTTCCGGATTACTTGCTTCTCTTTCATTATCCTTTAAAACATTCTCTACTACGTACGGAGATGATGTATTTTTTTACGATATTTCACTTTGCTTTAGTTATGTTACTAGCGTGCGTTCAAAATATCCTGATTATGTTTCATTAAGGTGGAAGTGGAAGGACGGGGCGGTAGGTTCCAGGAAGCCACGGAACCGGGGAATGGCTGGGTGCGCCACAAAGGCCAAAACCGCTATCTAACGATGAATACCCAAAAAACCAAATAATTGAGAACGCCATAAAAGTGTATGTTCTGAAAAACCTTGTGTTTGTAAGTGGAGAAATGATACCTTGTCACAATTATTGAAATTTCTGTATTTTCCTGTCAATATACTTCTACATTTAATTGACTTATCCGGGCACCATGTCAGCAAACCAGGAATGATTTTGATAAAAAGTTCGCACAAAACAAGAAACATCTTTAATCTCCATGATAGTGATTGAATTCGACATAATTTACGACTGTGCCGCTTGTTTTCTTGTTTGATGAATTCCTGCGGATTGCTTTCCAGCCATAAAACACGAAAGACAAAGTGTAATGTGTTCGTTTGTATTTTAGTTCACGAATTTATTATTTCAATATCATTGATTGTCAATAATTAGGCATCTACTTCCCTTTGCAATAGGATTCCTTTAGCAATTTACTTCGTAAATTCTTTTGAAGTTTAACACTTCTAATTACGTTACAATCAAAATGTTTTTCTTCTTCTCCTTTTGCTGAAACGGAGCTCAAGGATACTGAAATCGGCGCCTTGTGCGTAAGTAATTACTGTGTCCTTGAACGCGTGTCACGTGTTTATCTCTTAGGACTTTGGGTTTAACATTAATGAACCTTTTACCAACTCTCTCTTCTCCTCATCTCTTTCTTGTCTTTTCACAGATGGATGTTGATGGATGGGAACGCGTTTTAACTAAGTAGTTTCATACATTGCGAGTAATTCAAGTGAATATGGGTAGAATTCTTATTATACTTTTTTGACACAATTTGGTAGTGAACAATAGTATTTTGGTACTGTGCTGATAGTGTTATAAAATGTAGTTGGGTCAAAATATTAAAGCGACATAAATAATTTTACATATACTAGTATATTTATCATGAGACACTAGTTAAAAGTTTAACATCAATCACATGTATATTGAGAAATAATTTACATTTTTTTATATGTAATCTGTTAGCCTTGCTATTTCTACTTCGTTATTATTAGTCGGGACCATTTTCATAAACCTTTGATTGGAGGAAAAAAGAGAGGAAACAACGTCAATGCGAACTTATTCGATTGAATAATACACATAGTGATCAGTAGAGACAAACTGTTTTAAGCAAATCTGTCTTGTGTATGAAACTGTAAATGTTTACTCATCTATTTATTTAATATGGAAACAGTGAAAACTGTACGTGCGGAACGGGGAAGTACAATCTGCTACAAGGTGCAGCTCTATCTTTTAAAAAGTATACTATATTTCTCATTGCATATGATCTTCCTTGATGGGAACGTCACATTTCTCAAATATGATTATGCGTTAACTTCATATCACTATTAAGTTTATTTACCTCTTATCGCCTAGGCACACGAATAGATGCCTCTGAAAACTTCTGCAGGAAAACAGTTATATCTGTTATCTGATCGAAGTCAATCATTTTGCGGTTAAAGACTTTTCTTTTCTGCATCGATTGTCTTCTGCGCTACTTTTAGACAATTTTTACTACTGAAAATAGACTATTTGCATGACAGATTTCTTTACCTAACAAAATATCGATTTAAATTTTGAAAACAAATTTGATGCTCGAAATGTGTCACGTTTCTTGTGCATCAACAATATGTAGAGTTAAATATTGTCTTCTATTTTAACGTCTCGGATTTATATATAATTTCGCTGGTCGAATACCTGCAATTACCCGTATGTGTTTTGAAATTATTAAATATTACCTAGACATCCGAGCTCTTATTGCAAGAAACGTAAAGCAAAGTTAGATTGCAAACACACAAATTGAAAAGTTTTGTCACTAGAAACGACGAAATGTATGGGACGAAACATTCTTTGAACCATTTCGACGGTGCAAAATTGGGGCGCGCGGGCGGCGGGCCGTGCGGCGGCGGCGGGCACGGGAAAGTCGGGCGCGGGCTCGTTTCTGGGCGCCTGCCTCGCGTACGTCGCTTGGCGGCGTACACAACATAATTCTTTCGCGATTTACGGACGCTACGGGCGCCTTTTTTCGTCCAGCGCTCCGAGCGTGTCTATTGTGGTGAAGTGGAGGCGCCGGGCGGGCGGGCGCGAGCGGAGGGCAGGCGTGGTTGCTCGTAGCGGGCCGGTCCATCAGGATGTCTCGCCGGCCCCGCTGCGCAACCGCCCGCCCCGGGCAGTGCCAAGCCAGTCTTACTGCCGCCGCTCCTGCCCGCTCTCTACGAGAACAACGGCGTTGAAGCCTTGGCTGCCAACAACGGCGATGTGTACATGCCGTGTAGGTAACCCTGTGTCAAAAATTTATTCAAATTCAAAACAAGTGCACGTTCACTTGATGAAACACTGTATCGACATTTTATCGATATTTTAAAAGCAAAATTAAAGACCATGAAGGTCAGTGTTTTAGACCTAAAACTACATGTGAGGTTCTGTTACTTGGCGGAGTCCGTAGAAGTCAAAGTTTGTGTCTGGGCACAGGTTACATGCGTAAACAAGAGCTCCCGTAGCGTTCTAAATTGTGAAGAAAATGTATACACTGCCATGACACGTAGTATGTTGTGGCCGTGATCTAAAACGAGAGAAGGCATTATAGGGTCGCTCATTCTGCGCAACCTTGCTCAGCAAGGTGTATTTCTTGGGGAGTTATTTAGGTTTGGGTCTTTTTGCGAGATGCGGGCCAAGATTACATAGTTAGATTTCAATAAACAATACAAATAGAGATACATGATCTTTAAATGGCTTCATTCGCGGTTGATACTGCTGCCCCGCGCAGCGCGCGTGCGTCACTCACCGACATGTGTGAAGCTGCGCACCGTGTTGGCGGAGCGCGTGAGCTTGCCGGGCAGCGACAGGGCCGGCGCGTCGGGGTGGCCCGCCTGGCGGCGATACAGCTCCATCATCGCTTCGGGCACCACCACTTTGCTGCGGTTGGGCCGCGGCCTCCTCTTCAGCCCGAACAGCGCCAGCAGGTTCGCCTCCACTTCCTTGATCTCCGCGGCGGCGGCGGCGGCGGAGTGGGCGTGGGCGTGGGCGTGGGCGTGGGCGTGGGCGTCAGCAGGTCCGTCGCGGGCGGCGGCGCAGGAAGCGGAGAGCACGAGAAGGAGCGTCGCCAACACGCTGAGCAGAGCCGGCAGCCCAAGCATGGTCGCTCACACTCCTGCCGGGGCAAACAAGCACGTCAAGGTTGCCTCCGAGCCACTTCGTACACACTGCAACCATTAGCACTAAATACTCGCTTTTACTTCCCCTGCAGCACCTTTTGAAGTTGTAATTACGCTTTCTAGACACGCGTTTAATATTTATGTTTTTACATAGTTGCATAGTTTCTGACAGCAACAACACTCCACGCAAATAAGTAAACTCCGAGGTTAGTTGCCGAATCAACGAAATAGATCGAATATGATGAAAACGTAAATCCAAGCGCGTCAATCCATTCCGTACAATCCGTGCGAAAGCAAAAAAAAAGTTAATTCTTTATAATTACCTTATTTCAACTGTAATCATATTTGTCATGACAAAGGTTTTATGGAGATAGAATGATGTCAACTGCGTTTAAGACCTATACAGAATATCAAAATGTGAAGTCTCTAGAATTGCAATCTTAGACAAAGTTGTTTCCGTTGTGAATACGCTGCTAAATCTACTTTTTTTCTGAAAATGAAAAATAAACCAATGGATTCTGATCATTCTACATTTGCATTTAAACATTAAAGTTAAATTCCTTCTGTACCCTGATTAATTGGTGCTTGTATATTAACGAACACAACGTACATTTTTTTAATAAACCGTTGCAAGATAAGATTAGTTGTCAAATTATGCACGTAATTAAGATGTTTCATTGACATAAAAAATTGAATTGTCTGTTTATTGGAACTGATCCAGTGTAAATAATCACAGGATTCCAAAATTCGTGGCTTAACTGTAAACTTTGGTTTCAAAAGTTATCAACTTATTCACGCAAGCGAAAAAAATTAGCACGATTGAAATACAAAGTATTTTAAAGGATTGATCTTTAGCAGGTTCAAAATGAAGTTGGTCAAAGTGGGACGACAAAAGTAATAATAACAACAATAATAATTGTTTCAGTTTAAACTGACAACACTGCACTAGCTGAGGTATCCTTACGTGTTAACTGTCCAACTGGCTCCCATGCACTGAAGCTCTCACTTTGATTGCTCACATATGTGCAAAAATATACAGGCTTGAGCACGTTGTGACACGTGGAGCAAAACATTGCATGGACGGGCTATCCACGGTATTCGGTTGTGTGATGGGCCACAGAATGTGTTGACTCATGGTACCACGAAACGTGCTCTTGGTGACGGGGCTCTTGCCGCGATTGCAATGAATGTTGTAAGCAATTCAAAATTTATTTTATTTGAAGTTATCTTTGACGAATGAGGATGTCCTAAAATTATCACGTGAAATAGCTGCATTTGAGGGAGTAATCAAAGTAGCATGCTCAATATCAAACAAACGCCATAAAATGACCATCGTGCATATTGTAAAGAAGGAAAAACATGGTCATTTGAAAACACGTGTTCCTAGGCATTATTTACAGGTAGTTTTTGAAAATGTTCAATGCAAGTGAATAGTCACAAAATTTGGTTGATTGTACATCTTACTTATTAGAAAAATGTTATGAATATTTAAAGAGGGTAATAGAAATTAAAACATAATCAATATTTATCCGAAGGACAACAAATTTCAATATATAGTGATAAAAATATGGAACACTATTTTTTTTACTTACATTTACTGACATTGTTATTATACAGTTATTATACATTATGTGGAAATTTGACATAATAGGGAGATTATATAGTTAAGTAAAAGATTCTTCAGCAAAATGCCACAATATTTAAATAAGTTTAAATTGGCATTGACGAGTGTTGAGCCATTGGCATTGGCCTCAATTTTTGCCATCTTCTTGAGTACTCGCACGTCATTCCTGCGAATCTGCAGAGTACACAGGCGTTGCTTTGGCAGAGGCGTTTCAGAAAGTATTTCGATGGGAGGGGCGGTTTAGGTTCGGACCCCATCCCCATAAACATGTTTGAATTTTTTTATTTCTAGGTGGTAATAAAAAAGTACTTATTAATACAGAAAATACCCCTTTGGATTGACGCGATCAAAATGCAATAAGCGGAGCAAAATTACAAAAAACGTTGGCCTTGCGGGAGATTCATGGTCACCTGCGGCCGGGCCGACAGGAAGACTGGTCGCTAGCGTGTCCGCGGCGCGTAGGTAACGGTGCGCCAATACTCAGCGTCCTACGTCGCGCCTGGCCCCCGTGGAAGATGACGCACCGCAATCGCCGGCGCTGCCTCTTGGCCGACCGTCGTGGACCGCATAGCAGCGTGGACGAGGACGCAACGAGTGCGCACAAACAACTTTGACCAAAGGCACTTGCTACAACGTCCACGGCCCAAAGTTTTAAAAGTCGACGCAGGCGATCGCCACAGCTTGGAAGGCGCGCTCGTCGATCAGCTGTTTGGAATCGAGAGCTCCGAGATAACGGTGCGTATAGTAAAACGGGAGAACGTCTGTAACGCCCGAACGACAGATTGTAAAACGTGCGTGGCTGCCTGCTTTCTCGCTGAAGCTAACGTATGATACGATCGTTCCGGCTAGTAAGCCACGAAGATTAGTGGACGGCACAGCATCCCCCCTATCCCCCCTCACACAGATAACGGTGCGTGTAGAGTTACGGCACGCACATCGCCGATGCACCGAAG